TTTTGTTGAGGTTGCCCTTGCAATGCTAACTTCGAGGTCAGCCAACACAAATATGTCATCCCTCTATTCTTAGTCGGGAACACCCCTACAATTGAAAGAAATCTTCCAAATGCAGGAGCTATCGGAGCTGAGAATGTGCAGTGTGTTGGAAATGAATGTAACAGACTGTGACCCACTCTCAGAGAACAGTGCCTATGTGGAAACCGGGGCTCACACTGACTCTTGGCTGAACGTCAGGCCGAGCCCACCGGGACGGGTAGGTGCGTCTGAGCCCAATTACCCTCTGTCTGTATCCGTGTGTATCTCGGTGGACACAGAGCCACAGATTGAACCATGACAGCCTCCCACAGTGAGGAAACAACCCAAAAACACTGCAGACAGCTGGATGCAAAATGAAAAAGGTGTTTTTGTTATAGCGTGTGAGAGGCAGCAGCTCATCTGTGTGTCCGTGATCACACTCTGAACCCTCAGTTGTGAGTAATAAATGGGGTGGCACTGTGCATGATGCTAAATAAATAATGAGCTATCAAACACGGACGATTTATGCAAAAGCAGCCGGCATTGTGAGCATTCATTTTCCTTCCGCCGCTGTCTGAGAGTAATGGACTCAGAACAGAGCGTCACCAACACGGATAAGCTGCCCTGCCATAAATATGATTATTACCAGTGGTGAGATGTAACCAAGATGAAATTCACTATGCTTTGTTCTCTTCCATTAACAGTTTCTGGGTATAATATTCTCAAAAAAAGCATCAACACTTTTCTAAGAAAGCTAGTGGTCGTTTTAGTAGTTTTAAAAAAAAGATTATGTGAAGCTGACCTTTGAGCGGCCCGACCAAGCAAGGAGGCAGAGGCAAAACGTCCCAAATATAACCCGGAGTGGGCATTTATTAAAATCATAGACCCATGAAACCATAGGCACCGTAAAATTCTACATCTAAGGTTTGTTTCACCATCTCCTTTTGAGGTTCTTCTGGTATGCTTCTGTAATTGCAAACGATTACGTTGTCTAGTGTGAATTGGGGGGCGACCAAGAGAGGGATCGAAATGTCTATCCCCTGACTAAATGACCTCATTACCACTTAACGTTTAGACTACCATCGTGTCTTTTGTGACTCGCGACTCCACCGATATCGCACATTACAGTCCTAACGGACAACTACAAATCAGATAAGTTTATTGTGTACAGAGAAAGAAAACGAGTTTCTTACCTAACAACTTGGGGGAACCGTGTGTGTGGGGATCATCCTTTTTCAGGATGTGATACACAAGATTTAAAACATAATAAGGCGTCGACTTTTACTCAGGGTTTGTTTTTGTGGAAAATGTTAGGATACAACATTAAAAACACTGCTTCTCTCCGAAGCAGTGACAACTGGACTGCGAAGCCCGAAACTAGTAACGTGCACAAAATAAAACTTTTCACAATGGAAAGGGGTACAGACAACGACAGACTAACACCACGTGGACCACGGGACACAACAAGAGGAGGGGGGAGTGGACACAGAACAACCCAATTAATCAACACACACATAAATCCGCAGACAAAGGACAAAAAACACCCACCACACACATTCTAGGAACACCGACGACTGACACACAAGTCCCTCTTGTCGCTCTAACTCCANTTATTTGACTTCAGTTTAATTATGTCTGTCTCCATAGCAGATTTACCTACAGACCTACTTCCGTAATGTGCCAGGCACGCTCTTGTCTTACCTTTTGACAGTCCTGTCAAAAGGTAAGACAAGAGCGTGCCTGGCACATTACGGAAGTAGGTCTGTAGGTAAATCTGCTATGGAGACAGACATAATTAAACTGAAGTCAAATAATCTGTTACTCTGATTGTAGGTCCATTTCGTACCATTTTTTATTATTTGATTAATGATACAAGGTAGGAAGTTAGCAACTTTATTTGTTGCCTGAATAATGGTGGTTTGATGCTTCACTCCACTGACCTTTAACCCACTGAGTAATAGCTTTGCCTCCACAGCAGCTCTGCTTTAGAAAAATCTATTAAAGGATCTAAGACTCCAATATTCACCTCTGTAATTAAAAAAGCACTTGACCAGAGCATCCGACATCTTCCTGTCGAGGTCCATTTCAACGACCTTCCAGCCGTCTCCCAGCGGACCGTCGCTAAGTGGGTCGACTTTTGATCTACGTGCCAGCATCTCAATATAAGGCCTTGAGAAGATGTGCTTTGGGTCACTGCAAATCAACAGGAGAACCATAGAGGAGAACCAACATTGGCTGCATTTCTTTAACCAATACAGAAAGTAGTATGTGCATATAAATGTAGTTATTTCTGTTTATATTCCAAAGGAAAAAATATACGAAAATGGTCAAGCACAATAGCTATGATTATTCAAAGTTAAACAATTACAAGTTTCAAATTAGGGAATTACAAATGTGTTTTCCAATTGGCTAAATGAGATGTGCGTGAAACTTTGCCTTATACTGGTTCAATTTATTTTACTTGATTTCTTTTTATAATTATTTATATTATTTGAACATTGCATTAACTCTAAAACACTTGGTTTAGCAATATGATGAAGGGGATAAGTGCAGTTAGAACTGCTAATATTTTCTCTTATTAAGAGTATTTCTATTCAGGTTTTACCTGTGCTTGATAGATATGGGTCTATAAAAGGCAGTCAGAGATACTGGACATTCGTAGTCCAGCTGCTGCTTCCCATCAGTGAAGGTCACAGCCATGGGAATCAGCTCTCGAGTCACCAGCAGTGTGTACACCTGAGGGGCAGCAACACAGGGAGACAGCACTATTTGTATCTGTTTTATGTATATTCATGTTGCACTGTTGGAGGAGCCTGTGACTTAAGTTTTTCATTGCCATATCTACACTGGAGCTAATGTGCACATGACAATAAAGCCTTGGATCTTAAAAATGTTTCAATCATTATGTAACCTAAAATGACCCCAGAAAACGATCCTCTTGAACGCCTTCTCACATTCTGTGATATAGGAACATGGAGCAACTAACAGTGTGGGTGGAGCTCCAAAATCTACAGGTTACCAGTTTGTACTGTAGGTGAGGATGAGGTGGTGAACCCATGAAGATGATCGACATTTTTTAAATATAATGTCAACAAGTCAGTGTGCTGAAACACACAGCCCCCTTCTCTTATGTCTCATACCTGTGAATTACTGCCATCTGCTGAATGGACTGAGATCTCCACCACAGAGTCTCCATAATTCAGAGGGACCGGCTGTGAGCTCTCTCCCCGATTCACTGCAACTTTGATGTTTCTGTCCGGCACCTTGGGAAGCAGGGTCACCGCGTTACAATGAAATGGAACAAGACCTGCAGGAAAAAGAGTTTAAAGTTGATGACGAAAGAGACAAAAAATACAGAAAGGTATCTTATATGGACATGTTACCACCAGATACTTATAACAAAGACAATATAATGTATATACACCTCAAATACTATATTTCATTATTTTTGTATCATTATTCATATACATGCTATTACTGTACATGTTTGTACAAATATATTTTTGTTGCAAATAATATGTATTTCTTAATAAAAATATGTAATAATGTCCCAACATTCTGGTACTTTAACTGGCTTTTTCATAGTTTCACATGAAGGCTGTACTCACTGTTGTATTCATAGATTTTGGTACAGAATGCAGGATTACGTGGAATATCTCCATCCAAAGCCAGATCACTGAGTGCTGCGATCTTTGCAGACAGCTTGGTGATTTCCACACAGTATTTCTTTACGGTGCCATCCTCTGCTACCACCTCGATGTCCACTCTGGTTAACCCATCATTCAGGTTAATGGTGCTGGAACCATCACCAAAACGCTGTACAAAATGGGTTATATTCAGAGGTGGGAAGTTACTTTTACTCAAGTACTAAACTTAAGTACAATATTGAGGTGATTATGCTACTGTATACGTCTATTTAAAAGAGAAATAATGAAATAACTAACCCTAACCCTTCTTATAAATTAAACTAGTGGACAAAAGAGTAAAATTAGAGCCAGCTAAAAAAAGTCAATCAGAACTTTGTTTGTAAAATAAAATGCTACTTGATGAAACAATATCATCTAGAAATGTCACATAAATATAATTATATACACACATAATGGCAATTTTTCTGCACAATTATTACTTTTTATACTCTAATTACATTTTGCTGATCACAGATTTACTTTTACTTAAGTAAGATTTTGAATGCAGGACTTAGTTGTAGGCTACTTGTAATTAAGTATGTTGACATTGACAATAATATATTGGTACTGTTACTGAAGTGAAGCATCTGAATTCTCCTTCCACTACTGGTTATATGTTATGTTAAATCTGAGAATATGAACTAGAATTAAAAACATATTGACAGGACAATACTCACAATATTGTATGAAGCTCCACAGTCACTGGTGATCAGCTTCAGACTCACTTTGTTCACATTGCTCTCCACCGTCACTCTGTAGTCTGTGACTTGTGGTGTGAAAGCAGGAAGGAGCTTCCCAACAGACACAGATAACTTCTCCAAATCACAGTTGTCCATTTCACAAGCCTCTTTTTTTCATTTAATTGTACACCTGGTTAACTTGTGTTCAGGTATACCTACAACAACAGTGATACGGTCCAAGTCCTGAACGCACTTAAAACTGGCATCCCATGACACCAGGATTCATTTATCACACTGACACCAAGTTTCCATAGTAACGTGAACACCTTTGCTGCCTTCAGACTAAGCTAAAGCTAAGCTAAATATATTATACGTAATATCTCCGATGAAGAAACAGCTATACAAAACTCACAACATGTTGATTTATTAAGGCGTTAACGTTGGTGTAAAAAGTATGTTTCAATGTGTCAAAAATGAGCATTAGTTAACAGTTAACTTAGAGGATAAACTGGTAAACAACGGTGGTCGATGCACAATATATGTTTTTTCTCAGATACAGCAGTTACCAATCTATAACATACTACATATAAACAGTAAGTTACGTGGATAATGTCCTCCTCCAAACGGCAGACGGCAGTACAGAAGAAAAATAAGACAGGCTGTGTTGTTTACTGACGTTACTTCCGGTCTGCCAAAGCGTGGTGTGTGCTAAAAAAGGTAATACAGAAATAGCTTACTTTACCGTTAACTTCTGTTTCCAGTGGACTTGTTTAGACATTTAACCAGTTTCAAGTGTTGTTTAACACATAATACACAGTTGCCATTCAATGTCTGCTCTTTGAAACGTGTGCGTCTGATCCTTTTAGCAGCATGTGTTAGCTATCTACTAGCTACAAAGCTAACACTACCGATTTGAATGGGATCTTTTTGGTACAACAGGGCTTCATAATATTGTCGGATCATACTTATTTTTTACAGGAACATGGCAGCGGACGGCAAAACGGAGGACTACCCTCACGAGATAGACGATCAGCTCACAGGATTTGACTCCTCCGTGACTGCTATCAAAACCATGTTGGACAAGTTGCCCAAGAACGACGTTATGCATAAGGTAAAGTTAGGCTGTTAATACTTTTCACAACACTTGTTAAGATTTAAGGAATGAAGCAAGCACACAGCTTTTAAAATGATGGCATGGACAAGTGGCAACGTTACCACACCAATAAGAAACAAATATAATGTTATTAGCTACACTTGTTCTCTTCTATAACATGTGAACGTGTCAAATGTGAGAAAAGCCTACAGTAGGCCTATATGACAGATATATTGAAAATATAACATATAATTAAACATATGTGGTTGTTTTAATGACACCATGCGCAGAACTGTACAGCTCTTATTCAAAAATACAGTTATATTCTATCTATTACAGCTATACTGTACATACATGTTATCGTTTCTTATAGAGAGTATGTATAAGTTTAATTATTATTGTAATTTGTTTCTTGACTTTTGCACTTGTGCAGTACTTTCATTTACATGCCAAACATACATTAAGATCCTAAAATATGATGCTTGGGTGTATCCAGCAGTCTGTGATTTGGATAAATATAGGGTACATTATTGTTTTGTTTTGCTTGTAAGTTACTGTGCTAATGACATTTTTGCGACAGAAGGAGTTTGACACAATGACTGACAAAACGACATTTGTTTTATTGACAGCTGGACCCTTTGGACCAAGCCAAGCTGGATCTGATGTCTGCCTACACCCTTAATTCATTATTCTGGAGTAAGTTTTTTTCTGCTTGCTGTTATTTAATCTATGTAAATGATCAATCACATAGTTATTTATGTATTAATAACTCAAAAATGGGAAAGATTGCCCGTTTTTTATTGACTGCACATATTATACTATAATAAGCGTATTATTTTCTGTTTTTTTAGATAAGCATACATGCTGATTTATTCATAAATGTATTATATAATTGAGCGTTGAATTTGTATTTGCTCGTATTTGTGTCTGTATTCTCTATTAACATAATTGGGCCTTGTTGTTTACAGTGTACTTGGTTACACAAGGAATTAATCCAAGAGAGCATGCAATCAAACAGGAGTTGGTATGTATGAATTCTCTGTTCTGTCTTTGACATTTTAATAATTTCTGTATTTGTTTGCATTGTCTAACTCCTCTGTAACAACTCTCTGTTCTCCAGGAGCGAATAAGGACATACATGAACAAAGTGAAAGAGATCACAGACAGGAAGAAAGCTGCCCGTCTGAATAAGGGAGCTGCGGCACGCTTCGTCAGGAGTGCCCTCTACGAGCCAGATGAAAAAGACTCTAGAAAAAAATCAGCATCCAAGAAAGCAGCTGACTCAAAACCTGACACCCCGCAGTTTAAGCGTCCGAAGCAGAGCAGAAGTTAAGAAGGAGCTTCACAGTGTGGTCTCACTGCACTTTGAACCACTTTAGGACACGAACATTTCTGTCTCGCAAAGAAACAAAGCATCTTCTATGGTTGTGTTACTCGGTGCAAGACCTGTCAGAATTCACCAGTCAGCAAATTATACTGGATGTATCAAAAACCCAAGATTTTCTGCCATCTCTGAATCACCTTTCAGATTTTGCTGAAAACATTTCTGCTTCAATATTCCATAGATTCAAGACTATAATATGTTTACAATGTAATTTCATCATTCAATTATTGCCTATTGACAATTCAGGATTCCAAAACCACGAAAACATACAATTTCCTTTTTTGAAAGTGAGTAAAACTAAATACTGACATATTTTAAAATGTGTGTGTACCATGTTTTGAAATATGTCATTTAAGATTGTTCCATTCCTTCTTTTAGAGGAATAAGACTTTTAGATTTTCACTTTGTTTTTAAAGTGATTCTATGAATCATCATTTGTTTTTTAAGAGATGTTTTTTTTTACCAGTGCCATGTGTAAAACATGTATTCATACAACGTTGTTGGTAATGTAATACTATATTACTGCATAAAATGACATGACTCACCAAAAAACTTTTGTTAAATCCCCTTTTTTCTATTATTCAATTGATTCCTCGTGAAAAAAAGTGTGAAAATAACTCATTTAAAACAGTCCAATGCAAGCTGTTTGAGATGTTGGCATGTAACACAAAATCCACTGATATCAAAAATGGCTCAATTCCATTTAGCTGCTCAGGTTCCAGGACCCTGATATTGGTCATGCTGGCTTACTGACGTGCTCTTATGTCTTACTGGGACATACATACAGAATAGATGTGCTTATACAAAATGGAAATATAATGTGTAGTGCAGTTAACACCAAGTGTACAGTTTGAGCTTCATCCTCACTCATTAACAAAGAATTAACAGGACAACTTGGTGGATGTGATTGTACCAGCATACTCTGAGCCAGCAGCTGCGCGAAGGTGGCGACAGACTTGACAAAGACTGGATTGGTGGACTTGCTGAAAAATGTGGACGTACTGTATCTCTCTGATTGCACTGTACAATCTCTTGTAGATTTCTTGCCAATATATATGGTGTGGTGACTCGTTTTGCCAGTAAAGATTATTGGTTGCACTCTGGCTTGAATGTTGCAATATATTTAAGTACAATTTATTCTTCTGTTTTAATCTTCCCCATGGAGTCTAAACTCATAACCTGTAGTGAGTGTCTCAGTAACAAGTCTTCATGTTACTGCCTGTTCCCTTTGTTTTGCTGTCATATTTGTATTTGAACCTTTTCCTAAATAACCACATGATTGTTATTATATAATAACTTGGCAGTTAATATTTTTCAGCCATTGTGAGAATGATCGAGGTTGCCTGTTTAAATTAAGGTGAGATGTTGCCTTTACAAACTAGGTAAACAGTGTTAAACATTACATGATTCATAGGAGCAATTTGGACGGGCCCCTGTGAGGGTCAAACCTGTGACCCTATGATTACAGAACGGCCTTTGTTTCCATCACAAACAGCACTGTGTAGCTGCATGGCTGCACAGTATAAGCATAGGCCGTAATGAGACTTCCTTTTTTATAAAAACCAACGTCACATTTGATAAAGACACCCATATAGCTTCCTTTTTGTAATTCCCTCTGGACAACCAAGATCTTAATCTAAATGTAGCCGCAAGTCCCTGCATCCCTCTAATCAAGCCCAGGAAACAGTGAGGCCAAGTCAGATTCTCAGGAATGTATCTTTTCATTCTTTTCATCATCTTTCCTTTTCCCCGTCCTCCCTGCAGCAGCGTCCAAAAATGACATTTGTTTAGCCAAACCACCCGACTCCAACCTTTTACTTCTTTCCACGAGTTGTTGTTTCTAACTGTTCAAAGACATGTGTCAAACTTTGCCTGATGAACAGCCTCCGTCTGCATATTGGAAAAATATGGATTTTTCCACCCCCACCCCCTTTTATAATGTTCGCCTTCCTATGCCCTTTTCCCCACATGTGCTCCGTATAAAAGCGTTAGGTCACTGCACTAGCAAATTTGAACAAACAAACTCTCATGTTGAAATCGTGCGCCCTAACAAGCTCCAAACTTGGGTTTGTCCTGTGGATGTTTATTTATGCTGTTTGTGAGCAGCTTGTGGTGAGGAAGTTTATATTATGTGGAGTGAAAGGCATCAGACCAAATGACCTCCGCAGGCAAGAAGAAGGGAGAAGCAGCCGTCCTTTCAGACTCCTCTATCTCCTAAAAGGAGGAAGTGTGCTGCCAACAGACTCCATTAAAGGCCTGGAGGTTAACCCATCAGGGCAGATCACATCATTTGAGGTAAGTTGCCAGTAAGTAGATGCTGTAAACAAACGTGGGGTTCAAGCACTTGACTGCTATTTTCACAGCATCCTAAATAAGAACCAGCAATGACTTCCATTTAATCACAAACTCTTCACATATGAATTTATTTCTGGAGTTTCCTGCAGTTTAAACGTGATCTCCAGTCAGATAAAGTGAGGAATTCTGATTGTTTTATGGCCTGTATATATCAACAAGTTGTAATGAGCCACAGGAATAAACAAAAAATCAATGTCTCAATCTGCCTCTCTCTTTGCTTTGGTGTTAAAGTTGAAACCAACGTGTCGATCCATTCTTCAAACTAACCAGGAAGATGCCAATGCTTTTAGGTCATGCTAATCTTCCAGTTTAAAAATGGAAAGTTGCGTAAAACTCCTGGAATTTTGCAAACAAAACACTGTCGTTTAAACAAAGTGAATACACCAACATTTTGGAGATTCAAAGTTTATTTGTGACCTTGGAAACAGCAGTTGATAAAATAATTTCTCCAAGAGTTTAGCAGATGTTCCTGTTCATCACATGGCCTTTATCAGCAGATGGAGTTGTCACGAATCGTAGATGTTAATTTTTTCTTTCCTGCAGCACTTTAAGGACTTCTTGTTTATATTGGCTTAAATGTTTGAGATTGAAGAATACGTTATGACTTCACACAGGTGCAGGACAAAAGATATCAATCGTCAAACAGCATGGCACGGTTTCAAATCTGAGTTTTTGGCTTGATGAAGGTCGGAACGTTGCATTAATTAAAAAGAAGTTTGGAGCTTTCACATTTCATTGTGTGGACAGCTTCTCCTCTTCATTTGTTCATAACACCTGTCTGGAGACTGAGGTGTGATGGAACCGGAAAAAAGCTGGTGGCGATCAAATTAATATGTATTTTGTGTCAGATGTAGAATTAAATACTTAAAGGTGGTGTAGGTAATTCACTTCAGAAACACTTTTTGTTATATTCCATGGAATGCTCTTAACATCCCGATAGCAATGAATATATTAAATGCTTTGACAATAAATACATAAAAAATGTAATCTAGCCGTAGTAGCCTACTGTAGAAAGCAGGACCAATCATCTGAGCCGGCCCGGCTAAAATAACTGGATGGCCTACCTGCCTGTCAGCCTTCCATCTCGTGCTCAAACTTATCTCGTGCCCTCATTGGTCATGTGCGCATTTGATGCACTCCATGCATCAAATGTGTATTTTGATGGGGGATAAGAAAATACAAGATGGTATGTATAGCATGTAATCCTGTGTCTAGGTTATGTTTAATGATATACAATCCTCTCCACCAGACATTTGATCACACCACAGAGAAATAAGATGTATAATGAAGCCCAGTGGAACAGGCTTTGCTTTGAATAAGTGAAATGGAGAGTGAGTGAATGACGAACATTGCAGCTTTATTCTGTCTGACACATCAGGAATTCCATGCAGTCATTTGTGCCACTTTCTATTCACCTTGCCCCCGCTGACAGAGCCGCTGATTAATCATGATAACAATGTTTTCCTTTTATTTAGCCCTCACCTCCCAGCGCCGGGACAAATTACTTTCTGTGAGAGTCAGCAGGTGAGACTGAGGCCCGGACCACCAGGGCGTCCAAAAGAAACTGAGGTTTGGTTATTTTCTTTTTTCTTCAAATAGATTCTGTTATTCTAGTTTTATTTGTAGTCATAAATCCGGCCAAAAAACGACTTTATATTGAAAAAGGAGCTATATGTGCTAGTTTTAATGCTTTAATATGAACAAAAGACTCCTTTTCTCTCATGGGTTTGCCATTTTCTTTCTTAATATGTGTGTGTTCAGGCGTCTTTATTTCCTTTTCCCAGGGTGAGTATCATATCGATGTCAAGTTTAGTCATTTGTCCTGGAGATGTTGTGCAGAAGCATACAGATAACACACAGATTGTTAAGGTTTAATCTGACACATTAGCAGGATTGTGTTGCCCCTTTCCCCTTTCTCTAATCCATCTATGTTGAGTTCCTGCAGGGTGTTATTTCTCACTTCAACTCCCATTCACTTCTCGGGGATTTTTCAAAACAATTTGTCAAAGAAACGGCAGCAGCAGTACCTGGACAACTTCATCCAAAAGACCACGAAGCTTCAGTGCACCTTTCTTAATTTCTTCACGGCTCTCCCCCCTTTACTCCCTCCTTCTCTCTCCCCCATTACTGTACGTCCCAGTGGGGATTGGCAGTATAAGAAAATGACGGCATGCTGAAAACATGTGCAGAGCAAGGCCTTGAACCCTCCTTGCTAAACACATCACATCATCATCACACTTTATTGAGTTTCCATCCCTTACATTACCTTACTCCTGCCAGTATGTTCAATCTACAAAAAGAGAAAAGAAACACACAAATACTAGAGTTATGGTTTCCCTCTGTCAGCTTAAACGGACTATTAGGACTGAAAAAACAAAGGGTTATAGGTTCAAATGTAGGAAGAAGCGAGAGGGAATATTTGTGAGTAAATACATTTTCTTAAAGTTCAAGAAAAACATATTCTAATTTCCCAAGTTCATAATTGTATTTTGTGCCTTCAATGATCAAAAAGCTCTTTATTTCTCTCATACTGCCTGTGCTGCAGCACCTCTTTTCACCCTCTGTCTGAAACCAGAGCCCAGTCTGCTCTGATTGGTTAGCTGACCGGCTCTGTTGGGATTGGTGAACCGCTTAAAGATATCCCTCCTTAGCCTATCACGTGCGATGTGTTTGAGCGATAGCCTATAAGAGCGAGTGTTACATAGTGATGTCACTATAAGGAAGTAAATATAGGACTACAGGAACTTTGTTTTTTTGCTTTTGCAGACCATTTACATGCACAAAACCCTTTGTAACACAGGAAAGGAAAATCCCCCCAAAACCATGATAGGGCCTCGTTATTGTTGATTATGTAGCTGACGAAAATACTTTCAATTACCTCTAATATATACACACAGTTTTGAAAATACAACATCCATATCAAACAGGAATTGTTCAACTTCTTTCTCCCATGTGCAGACCAGCTTCACGGTGATGTCACTCCCACTCTGTGGTCATTAGAAGACCTCATCTATTACGGGTGTTTATCTCTGCTCACTATAAGCGCTCCATATGGCTGCAATGTGAAATCAGGGCTTTCCCGCTTTAAACCATGGGCTTCCGATACATAAAGCCGCAGGATAACTGCTCGGCCATCAAAGAGAGAAACTATCTCGGAGTCCTCCACACACAAGCACACGTGGTGCACATGCACACAATTACTCACACAGAGGAAGAGCAAGCAGCTGCAAGCACGCTGTGAAAGCAGGAAAACACTCGCCGCTACACATGCTGAGGGCCGTACAAAGACACACAGAGAAAATGGCTTACACGTGCATCTGTGCACACTGGAGAGCTGACTGGAGGTGTGTAATGGATTGGATCCCCCTCATAATTCCTGGGACAGCGTTGTCTTCCAGGTCCGCACAGAGGCGGATGAGACCACAGCTGTTTGGACATAAATTTCCAAAGGAATGCCTTAAATCCGAGCCCTCAGCATAAAGAGCATGACTGAAAATTCCTCTCCGGATGACAAATGATCGCCCTGAGGACATTTATGTGTGTTTGTGAATGTGTGTGCAAAAGGTTTCCAATGCAGGCTTTTACAAGGTTACTGGTTTCTATGTTTTTTTTTTACATGCACGAGTATACGTTTATCTGTGCATTCCTTTGCAGGAGGAGTTTTGTACCAGGTTGAAGAGCATGATGAAATGGCGTGCAGACAGGAGTGGTTCTCCTCTGCTGGATCAGGAAGAGTCAACAGC